TGGAGCTTCAACATAAGACCTCACGTGCCCCCTCCATATTGCTGGCATTGGGACAGAAACGAGCACATCTTCGATCTCTTCTAGATCTGAGCTTCTTTAAATATAGAGAATCTTTGCGCAGGTCACTGTATGCACATGGAGATAAATGCGGCCGTTTACTGGCCCGCTCAATTAGGGAACAGAGTGCGCGCACATTTGTCTCTAAAATACAAACTAAAGACGCTCAAATGGTTCATCGTACTGACCAGATTGCCTGTGCTTTTCAGGCCTACTATGCGGAGCTTTACAATCTACCTATTTCGGGGACATTTTCCTCTCTTCAGCTGCGGCCTCCTATATTGTCTCTACTCCTCTGCCGACTCTCTCTCCTGAGGTGATTGCCCACATTGGGGACCCCTTTTCTTCGGAGGAGATCTCTGGCGCTATTTGGGGGCTTCCCCCTGGGAAGAGTCCAGGCCCGGAAGGATTTACTGGTGCTTTTGATAAGTACTTTCAGGAGTCATTGACTCCCCTACTTCAAACTACCTTTAATTCCATATCCGCCGATTGCCCTTTTCCCACGCAATCGCAAGAAGCTCATATAACCGTAATCCCCAAGTCTGATAAGCACCTTACTCTTTGCACCAATTACAGACTGATTTCTCTTATAAATGTGGACCTTAAACTTTACGCGAAACTCTTGGCGAATCGCCTGAGTCAACATGTCCCATCCTTGATCCATATGGATCAGGTGCGGTTTGTTCCCTTTCGTGAAGCCAGAGATAATACAATCAAGATTCTTACTCTCATGCGCTATGCCAAGTCCTCGGGTCTCCCCCTATGCCTTCTGTCTGTAGATGCAGAGAAGGCATTTGACCGTTTGAATTGGACCTTCCTTGCTCTAACCCTGGAACAAATTTGCTTGCCGAAATCGTTTGTAGAAAAAACTATGGCTCTTTACAACAGCCCCACGGCCCGGGTGCGAGCCCCACGGCTCCCTATCCCCTTCCTTCTCTATACGAAACGGAACTAGACAAGGCTGTCCATTGTCCCCTTTTTTGTACATCTTGGCGATGAAACATCTGGCGATAGCTATCCGCATGAATCAATCCATCCAGGGCATCTGTATTCAAGGTCATCGCTATAAACTTGGACTGTATGCAGATGATGTCTTGCTTTATCTATCTAATCCCTGGATTTGCCTACCTTCCATATTGGAAGAGTTCAGTAGGTTTGGATATGTCAGAAACTTTAAAGTAAACCTACACAAAACGGAGGCTCTAAATATCTCTCTTCCTTCAACGGAAATTGACCAACTACGGGACCACTTTCATTTCAATTGGCAAGCTACGGCCGTCAAATATCTTGGCATATTTCTATCCCCTGAACAAGCCGACCTATATCGCTTGAATTATGCCCCTCTTCTTCAATTCACAATTTCACGTCTCCAACAATGGCACTCCCACCGACACTCCTGGCTGGGCAGGCTTGCGCTCTTTAAAATGGACATACTCCCCCATTTCCTATATCTCTTTCAAGCGCTGCCGCTGGCTCTGCCTGCCTTTTTTTTCCGGCATTTGAGGTCCGCATTGCTTCATTTCATCTGGGCGGGGAAGCCTCCAAGGCTGGCGTGCAGCGTTTTGATTTGAGCTAAAGATGCAGGGGGCCTGGCCCTGCCTGATTTAAAGGTGTGGGATGCTCTAGTGAAGACAACTCATCTGTCATCAAGGGCGGGCCCCATGACACCTATAATGGGAAATCCTGAGTTCCCTCCTGGCTGTATCTCCTCTAGTTTCCTACATTGGTCGACCAAAGAACCGTCCCCTATGATAGAGGCGCTCACGGAGACGGCCCTGAAACCAATGAGTGCTCTGCTAGCGAGCCAGCCCCATAATCCTGGCTCTTGGCTATTATATTTCCAACTCTGTGCATTCTATAGGGAACTGGGGGGCCATGCTCTTTTACATCGCCTGCTCTCGTGGTTTGAGTCACTTTGTGGCCGCGATGAAGCACCCTCTCATACCATCTCCTTGATATACAGTCAGCTGATTGCGGCAAAATCTCTGGATCGCCCCCTGTTTATATCTAGATGGGAGAGGGATTTGGGCTCTGTCCTTACTGATGAGGAAGTCCACACATCGTTTATATTAACTCACAAGTTTCCATCGCATGTGCGGCTCAGGAAAAGGGATATAAAATTCTAACGCGATGGTATCGCTGCCCGGCCCTGCTACACAGGATTTTCCCCGATAGGCCAGCACACTGCTGGCGCTGTTCGAATGCAGAAGGCACTTACCTTCATATGTGGTGGAGCTGCCCGGTGTTAGCGCCCTTTTGGTGTTGTGTCTTTGACATATATAACCAAGTTATGGGAACTTCTCTGGCTCCATCACCTAAGGTAGCCCTCCTATCGATATTGCCTGGCTCCCTGGCCTCCGTCAAGAAAGACCTGCTTCGCTTCTTTGTGGCTGCCGCCCGGACGACTATCCCTCGACATTGGAAAACTGCCGTCCCCCCAACCGTGAGGGAGTGGATTGCTGAACTGTGCTTGATTAGGCGGTATGAAGAGCTGACTGCTTCGTTGTGCGAGCGTCAATCTCAATGTGCAACATTATGGGCACCCTGGATTTTGTATATGGACTCTGCGGCATTTCTAGCATTGTAAGTTGCTAGATATTTGGCTTTAAAAATATGATCAGACGAACTGTCTCTAATAGTACCATTGGTCATGCAATTTGTATTATAGAAGCTGTGGGACCCGAGGAGTTTCTTTTTTCCCCTTTTTTTATTTTTTCCTTTTTTCTCCCCTCTCTCTTTCTCTTCTGTCTTTCCTATTTGCTATTATGACCTTTTTTCTTTTTCTCATCTTTTGTTGTGTTTTTTGGTCTGTGTAGGTCTTGTTTGTTTCCCCTCAATCTATGTGTGTGCGAGTACTGCGTACTATCAGGGGATTTGTTTTTTTTGGTTATCTTTTTTGTTTCCCTATCCGACTATCTCATTACTGGCCCGAGGCTGGATCTATAGGCACTACTGTCGAATACGGCCTATGGAGCTTATTCATGGGTCATGTATTATATGGTTCCTTTAGAAATCTGACGGTCCCTGATGGAATATGTGACCTTATCAGTGCATTGTATCTGATCGGATATATTAACATATGTACCATGTTGCCCATTGGTTTTTATTTTTTACTGTCTGTATTGCATGTACTGGAAAAACCTAATAAAATTTGATTGTTTAAAAAAAAGACTATGGCTTTTCTTCTCTGTGAAGCTTTTAAAACAAGATCTGAGTTTATTCACAATTAAAATATTGATCATATTGACGAATATGGCTTTTACAGTGTGTGTATCTTCATGTTGCTTAAGATTTGTTGTCTATGAAAAATCCTTGCCACATTCTCTGAGTTACCGGGTGTTTCACATATAGGCGATCAGCGGGTCCATAGCCCGCCGATCACCTATATGTGCTCGTTCGCGGCACCGCCCCCCCCGCGCGCGGTGGGCGCTGCCGGTTTAGGACGCCGCGGGACCGCAGGGACAAGGTGAGTGTCAGTTTTCTCTGCAGCCCCGAGTCTGGCTCGGGGTTACCGCTCCTAGCATTGAAAATTCACCCCGAGCCAGACTCGGGAATACCGCCAAGGAGGTTAATATAGTAAAAAAATAAAACCCCCAGTGGTGAATAAATACCACCAAAAGAAAGCTCTGTCTGTCCCTAAAAAAGGGTATAAAATTCATTTCAGTACAGCGTTGCATGACGGAATAAATGTCAGTCAAAGTACCGCAGCGCTGAATACTGAAAAATGGCCTGGATGGGAAGGGGTTTAACACCGCGGATGTCAACTGGTTAAAACATGAACCATTGCAATGGAGCTATCCCCGCAATGCAAGGGTTAACGGCTTGTTTTGGTCTAGGGATCTAGGGAGCAGAATAAAGAAGATACACCCATCTGTTCCTCGGTCCTGTGATGGTGACTGCTCACCTCTCTCTGGCTCTGACTGGGTAAAGTGCCTTGCTGTTCTCACATCTAATGCAAGTGAATATAACTTGCATAGACCTGATGATGTCAGCAGGCTTAGTCTTTGTTATTACATTAAACATTTGATTTGAACATTTGAACATTTGATAAACAATAGTACAAATTGACATTATGTAGTAAATAGGGATAAATATCTAAAAAACCTATATTTAATTCTGAAGGGTAATGTTTCTTCTATCTCTCAGGGACTTTGTTGGACAGATATCTGCATATTGTTCTGTGCTTGCACAAATGATTGTCATTTTATATAGAGATTTACTTGTCCATATTATTGTTTTTATTTTATATTATGGAGAATAGAAGAAATGTTGGAACACACATAGCTCAGGAAAGATCTAACACTCCCAGAGTATCCAAGAAATCTAAGAACATAGCGGCACCACCTGTGTCTAAAATATCACTGTTGGCACTGACAATTTAAAACATAACTCCTGACACCAGATTTCTTTTGGTTTTAGAATATAGTTGGGGAGAGTTTAAACCTTCTCTCCTAGATGAACAATAGAACAGAATTCAGTCTTTTATATTAAGCTTAAAAACATGATTTAAGGTTAAACTGATAAAAATCAAACCATGAATAATAACATAGTTACACAGTTTATTTTGCAATCATTTGGGTATTTCTACAAAGTTTAATCAAATGTACAAACTTATTTTATTTTACATATTTGCAATGCAGCCATCTTCTAAGAATGTTTGTGGCAATAAAAAATATTTGTGTGGCTGCAATACTAATCAATTCTACAGGAATAATGAAAAAGGTATATTAACCCCTTGCCGTCCACCCATCATAAAATTACTGGTGGACGGCGGATCCTTCCTGGCAGGGTCATGTAAATGTACGTCTTTTTTTCCTGCTCGCGCGCACCCCCCCCCCCCCCCCTTCTGTCTCATACAATCGTTTAGCCGGCTCTATAGCCGGCCGATCACTTGTATAACCCAAAATTGTGTGGTGCCCCCCTTCTGTCACGCCCCTCCCCCTCCGTAGCCGATGCCGGTTAACTGACATGTCCGGTACAGCGGCTGCTCGAAGAGAAAAGGAGGAGAAATCAGCATTTCCTACCACTGATCTCTCCCCATTCTCTCTCTCTAAAGTTGGAAGCGATGTGTATAACATCACTTCCACCTTTAGCTGTCATTCCTCCGGCTAAGAGCCAGAGAAGAAGCTGATGAAGTAAATCTCTGCTTCATCAGCTTCTTTGGGGGTCCCAAGGTGACAGGGGTCTTGGGGACCCCTGATGTCTCCATTAAGATGACTTGTCATTTTCTTTTTAGCCCCCTATGTGATAGCAATCAAGTTAAATGTAAAAAATAAGTTAAAAAAAGTAAAAAAAAAAAAGACGTAGTCACATATTTAAAAAAAACACCCAAAAAAGTTGAGTGCCCCGCGCGCACGCACCTATATATGTAGATATTGCAGCGAACGTCACAGTGAGAGCAATAATTCTACGGCCATCAATCACTGATAACAACTGATGAGCGGTAAAAGCTTTTAAAGTGTCGCCACACTGCGCGGGTCGGTTTAAGTAGTAACCAGCACACGCTGTATGCAACTTCTAGGATCCAGGAATCAGGTGAGTAGTAATAAAAAAAAAGTTGTATTTTATGTTCCCGGGGACATTTAAAAATGTCCCCGGATTTTATTTTAAAAAAATGTGTCACCTTACCTAAGCCTGGTGGTCAGTGGGGGCTTCCTGGACCTTGGTTGTGGGGGGGGGTTCCACATTCTTGACACACAAATGGTTTCCCTCCTGTGTGAGTCTTGTGGTGTTGAGTAAGATGTGAACTTTGTGAGAAACACTTTCCACATTCTGAACATTGAAATGGTTTCTCTCCTGTGTGGATCCTCTGGTGTTGAGTAAGAGTAAACGTATGTGAGAAACACAGAGGGGGACACAAACACTAGAGGCTGCAGTTAGAAGGTAGTGAAAATAACTATTTAACACCTCCCACCAACATGGGAATATAGAGGGGGCTTCCAGATTGCTAATAGGCTTAATCTACCGTGCAAAAAATGATGTCTGCAATAATCTAATTATACCTTCCCAGTCTGTAACATTGTAATACGAGGAGAGATAATATCATGAAGGAATCTTAATATCACATGCATGAAACTGGCTCAGTGGATACCAACAGCAATTGAAAAATATCATTCCAGTTCGATGGAAATGGTCAACAGATACTTTGCAGCATTTCTTAAAGATCAATTGTTTTCTTTAAATTTCGTTGAAAAAAATATGCATGGCTTTCTATATGACCAGTTACATGTAGGCTGGCCATATGTGAACCCATTAAGTCCTCAATTCATTGTCCCAGTATGAACCACAGATAAGAATTAAGTTTTAAAGGGTTTAAACTGCGATTACTTTTTGTGGCAAATTTAAACTTCCAAAGAAACCAAGATCTTCCTGCTAGAAATTAAATTTTAACATCTCTAATCCATCCTACAGTGGGGGGGGGGGGGGGGGGAGGGATGGGGTTGTGAGGGGGGAGGGATATGGAAGATCTGGGACTGTCAGGGGAGGGATATGGAAGATCTGGGACTGTCAGGGGGAAGGATATGGAAGGTCTGGGACTGTCAGGGGGATATAGCGACTCCTCCTGTGTCTAAAATATCACTGTTGGCACTGACATTTTAAAACCTAACTCCTGACAAGAGATTTATTTTGGTTTAAAGCTGCCCACACACCTTACAATGATCTGCAGATTGTCTGTGGTCAGATGGAAAAGGTGCAACAGATTCCTCCATCTACACTTAACTGTGTGGATGGAGTAATCTCCACCTGGGCCAATCTGTTGCACTTTTTCCATCTGACCACAGAAAATCTGCAGATAAATTGTAAAGGTGTGTGGGCAGCTTTAGAATATAGTTGTGGAGAGTTTAAACCTTCTCTCCTAGATAAACTATAGAACAGAATTCAGACTTTTACACCAAGTTTAAAAACATGATTTAAGGTTAAACTAATAAAAATGAAACCATGAATAATTAGCATAGTTACACAGTTTATTTTACAATCATTTGGGTATTTCTAAAAAGTTTATTCAAATGTACAAACTTATTTTATTTTACATACTTGCAAGGCAGCCATCTTCTAAAAATGTGCGTGGCAATACTAATCAATTCTATAAGAGAAATGAAAAAGGTATATTAAAACTGTCTTATGCATGAGAATGAAACGCTTTTAATTAATACAATAAGAATATGGCTTCTCTTCTCTGTCAAGTTTTTAAAACAAGATCTGATTTTATTTACATGTAAATATTGATCATATTGATGAATATGGCTTTTCCAGTGTGGGTATCTTCATGTTACTTAAGATTTGTTGTCTATGAAATATTCTTGCCACATTCTCTACGTAGTTTCTCTCCTGTGTGAATCTTCTGGTGTATAGTAAGATTAGAACTCTGTGAGAAGCACTTTCCACATTCTTGACACACAAATGGTTTCCCTCCTGTGTGAGTCTTGTGGTGTTGAGTAAGATGTGAACTTTGTGAGAAACACTTTCCACATTCTGAACATTGAAATGGTTTCTCTCCTGTGTGGATCCTCTGGTGTTGAGTAAGAGTAAACGTATGTGAGAAACACAGAGGGGGACACAAACACTAGAGGCTGCAGTTAGAAGGTAGTGAAAATAACTATTTAACACCTCCCACCAACATGGGAATATAGAGGGGGCTTCCAGATTGCTAATAGGCTTAATCTACCGTGCAAAAAATGATGTCTGCAATAATCTAATTATACCTTCCCAGTCTGTAACATTGTAATACGAGGAGAGATAATATCATGAAGGAATCTTAATATCACATGCATGAAACTGGCTCAGTGGATACCAACAGCAATTGAAAAATATCATTCCAGTTCGATGGAAATGGTCAACAGATACTTTGCAGCATTTCTTAAAGATCAATTGTTTTCTTTAAATTTCGTTGAAAAAAATATGCATGGCTTTCTATATGACCAGTTACATGTAGGCTGGCCATATGTGAACCCATTAAGTCCTCAATTCATTGTCCCAGTATGAACCACAGATAAGAATTAAGTTTTAAAGGGTTTAAACTGCGATTACTTTTTGTGGCAAATTTAAACTTCCAAAGAAACCAAGATCTTCCTGCTAGAAATTAAATTTTAACATCTC